TTCTCTGAGGATAATAATGGATCAAGATCTGAATGAAAGAAAATAGCAAGGCAAGGATCTGATGAGAAGCATTCCAAGCAGAAAGAAAAGTAAAAAGTTCAAGGGTCTTGAAATAGAAACATGCCAGCACGCTCAATGGGGCAAAGTGGTAAAAGATGAGGAAAGAAGGGGAAAGTAGCCTAGCCAAGACCCCGAGTCTCTGGAAGGGAATGATAATCTCAAATAGTCTAGCCATGGGGGGTTAGGAGGGAGGAACATGATGGATGGCGGGGCCCACAAATCATGTACAAAGATTCTAAAATGGAAAAGAACTTGTCAGGTTTATGGAACTAAAAGATCAGCTGAGGCTGGAAGCTATACACAAAGGAGAGTAAGGAGATCAGAAAAGTGGGTGAGATCCTTACTGTGATGAGGAATGTGGATTCAGAATTTGTACTTTCATTTGAAATGCAACGTAAAGTCAAAGGGGCAATAAACAGAAGGACAACCATGATCAGATTTATATTTGAATGAGAGTTACTCTGATTGTTATATGAAAAAAGCACAGTAAGAAGGCAAAGGGGGAAGATGTTAGGATTTTATTTTTTTTTTTTTTTTTGGTTTTTTGAGACAGGGTCTTTCTATGTAGTTGAGACTGACCTGGAACTCACTATGTAGCCCAGGCTGGTCTCGAACTCACAGCGATCCTCCTGCCTCAGCCTCCCGAGTGCTGGGATTACAGGCATGCGCCACCACGCCTGGCCTGTTAGGATATTAAGAGCCTACTACCATAGTTCAAAGAAGAGGCAATGGAGGCACAGACTACAGCAATAATAGTGAAATTTAGTACTCAAACTACAACCCCCAAACCATTTACTTATCACAAAGCACCAACACTGTAATTAAACCTGAATACTGAGTCTTTAGTTTAGAAAAAACAACACACACTAACATCTTTTGTCTTCAAAGAAGAACAACACATGTGCAATAGGTTCACTACCAATGGAGTGGGAGGTAACACTGCAGATGGAGAATAAAGAAGCCTTGCTAATGTATTGAACATGGAAGTTAGAATGGGAAGAATCAAAGCTGAATGCCAAGTATCTAGCACCTTATATAAGTAGGTGGTTAATTCCACAAAATCAAAATACTGGTTTTGGGTGACTCTGCTGAGTAAAATTTACTGCTGGTACAAAGATACAGATGTTGACAGTGGCAGACATTCCTGACCACCGCCTTCCCTGAAACAAGAGCCCTGAAGCAACTTCCTATGGCTGTTTTCCTAGCAGGGCTGACGAACTCAATGGAAATTGTATGTAGCAAGATAAATTGTGATGAAAACTACAGATCCAAGATTTTTAAAACCACAGCTCTAGCCAATCATTGTGGTGCACATCTCTAATCCCAGCATTCTGGGAGGCTGAGAGGCAAGAGGATCACAAACTTGAGCCAAACAAGCTAATACATATATGCCTGGGCAGGGGAAGATGCACCTCTACCCTTACACAAAATAAAGGCAGAGAGACTCCTGGAAAGAAAGCAGAAAAACATGACCACTCAGAGTTAAAAAAAGGCAAAGTTTAGCACAAACTAAAGAAACTTTCCAAGACTAATACTCAATTACAAAACAGGCCTTTTCATGCTGAAACAGAATGAATGCATTTATTTGAATTAGAGAAATACAAAAATTGCTGTGCTTTTTAATAGCACCTGGGAGCAAAGCATTAAAGGTGAGGGCAAAGTTTTGAATTTCAAGGTATGATGAGTTATGAGTGGGGGGGTACTGGGGATCGAACTCAGGACCACGTGCTTGGCAAGGCAGGCGGCAGCACCACTGAGCTAAATCCCCAGTCCGAGAAATGGGTTTTTCACGTTTAAAAGCCTTCTTGAATTACTATGGGTATCTCTCAGATCTCCTAACTTTGAGCTACATGGCTTTTCTTCCTCTTGGAATGTTACCATGTAAGCATTTTCACTGAGAAGTGTAAGCTTAAAAATTAAGTGACATGAAAATTAGAAACGTTGGGCTGGGGAACTTAGCTGAGTGGTGCCACCACCTGCCTCGCAAGCACAAGGTCCTTTGCTCAATTCTCAGTACCAAAAAAAAAGAAATGTTACCATTTCTGTGCTGTATTTTAGTTTTATAGGCAGAGTAGAAATTTTTTTCTGATTAATCTTAAAGGCACACTGGAAGACTTAGTTTCCAAACAGCATCTTTTAACAAAGCAGACACTCACTTCTTTTCTTTTCCTTTCTTTCTTTTTTGTTTGTTTGTTTTTGGTACCAGGGATCGAACTCTGGACCTTGCGCTTATGAAGCAGGTGGTGGAACCACTGAGCTAAATCCCTGGCTTTCCTTTCATTTTTTGAAACAAGGTCTTGCTATGGAGTTCAGGCTTGCCTTGAACTCACTATATAGAGTCCAGGCTAGCCTCAAATTCAGAATGACTCTCCTGCCTCAGCCTCCCTAGTGCTGAGATTACAGGTGTGCGCCATACCCAGCAGACCCATGTATGTATGTATGTATGTATGTACTGGGTATCAAACTCGGGACCTTGTGCTTGTGAGGCAGGTAGCAGAACCACTGAGGTAAATCCCCGGCCCAACACCCTCTGGCCCTGGACCCTTATTTTTAAAAACAAGTGTTGGGCCGGGGATTTACCTCAGTGGTTCTGCCACCTGCTTCACAAGCACAATGTCCCAAGTTTGATCCCCAGTACCAAAAAAAATAATAATAATAATTTAAAAACAAGTGTCAATTGTTTGTTACTGTTTACTTCTTCTTCTTCTTCTTTTTTTTTGGAGACAGGGTCTCACTATGTAGTTGAGACTGACCTGGAACTTGCTATGTAGCTCAGGCTGGTCTCAAACTCACAGCGATCCTCCTGCCTTAGCCTCCCAATTGCTGGGATTACAGGTGTACGCCACCATGCCTAGCTTACTGTTTACTTCTCAAAGCTACAAAAAGAGGCTGGGTGTGGTGGTACACCCAAGTTACCCCAATATTTGGAAGGCTGAGACAAGAGGTCCATGAGTTTGAGGACAGCCTATGCTACACAGTGAGTTCAAAGCCAACCTGAGGTATATACTGAGGCTTTATCTCAAAAATGAATGAGGGCTGGGGATTTAGCTCAGCGGTTCGGTGGCCTGCCTTGCAAGCGCAAGGACCCGAGTTCAATCCCCGGTACCAAAAATAAATAAATAAACAAAAATCGAAAATGAATGAATGGAGCCAGGGGTTTAGCTCAGCAGTTCTACCGACTGCCTCACAAGCACAAGGTCCCAAGTTCAATCCCTGGTA